GCATACCCTGGGTGTACCAGTTAGTGCCACGAGTCAGGAAAACCATGCGGGAGCCAGCCATCGTTACATCAACCAGAACAGAAAGGGAGCTGTTAGCCTAAAACCACTTCTAGACAATATGCAGGAGAAGATTTATGGTAATAACCGATGTGCGATGATCTCAAACATCAACAATGGTTGGTTTCTGTAGCAGCTAAAGCTGTCTATGGAATGATTAATGAGAGCAATTATAAAACAGAGATAATGGACCCTTTTCCACACCTTCAGGGGTACTAGGCATATAGGGCTAGACCTATATTTGATAGACTTATCAGCACAGGATGGGTGAAGTGGTCAACATCACACTGGCACCTTTACTTCCTAAGACTTTACCTGGTACCCATTAAAGGCTAGGTCAATTTGGGACCAAGGTAATTTTTAAAAAAAAGTATTCCATTAGGGCTTGAACCCACAACCTTCTGACCCGCAGGTGAGTGTTTAGCTGCTACATTGCGGCAGCTCCCGAGACCAGCTTTACCTTTCACCAATACTCCAGGCAGTGGCTCACAAACTGAACCCTTGCAATTGTCTGGGGGGTCATACCTCAACGGTGAACTCTGGCCTTGCAGACAGCATCCACTCCCAGCACATAACAGCCACCTCCATGACCTCCTGGGTGAACAGTTTGATGGGAGCCCAGCACAGCTCCTGCAGCAGGTTCCTCCGTACTTCTGCACACACCAAGACTAGGCATTATCAAAATATCAACTTCAATCACAGTCATCTACAGCATATCAATCTTTTTGATGATAATAATGAGCAAAGCTGTAACAACAACCATTCCTTAAAAAAAAAATCAGCTTTGATAAAAATAATAGCACATCTTCAATAGCAACAATCATCAAAATATCAATTTTACCAAAAATCACAATAATAATAATTAAAAAAACTATTAATAATAACTTTAAAAAATGTTCACAATGGGTTTTTAAAACTAACTTTACTGCAACTTTTCTAATAATCTAACACAAAAGTGTTAATAAGCTGCCATTTTAAAGATCAAATAGAGTGAACCATATTAAATATCAAACAGAGTGGTCACATTTAAGATGAAATGTATACAAGGGTCACAATTATGAATGATAAATAGTCACGACAGAAAGGAAATGTTTATGTATCATGCCAGGTGTAACAAGGAAAGATCCACTTAGGACTATCAGAAGGAGATACAGCACAGAACCAAACTGAACTTTATTGGTAGACAGCAAATGAAATAGTCTGGCCATGTAACCAGACTGGCAGCAGACAGGGCCCCACAGAGAGCAATGTATACACATAGATCAGTAACAGATCCAGAGGTTGACCATGCAGAAGATGGACCGTGGAAATATCAGAGGCACAGAAAAGTACTTTATACGAAGTGAACAGGTTTCCCATTCCAGAGATTTGACCCTGCCATGATGCTGCGAGGCATTCCAGAGATTTGACCCTGCCATGATGCTGCGAGGCATTCCAGAGATTTGACCCTGCCATGATGCTGCGAGGCATCCCAGAGATTTGACCCTGCCATGATGCTGCGAGGCATCCCAGAGATTTGACCCTGCCATGATGCTGCGAGGCATCCCAGAGATTTGACCCTGCCATGATGCTGCGAGGCATCCCAGAGATTTCCCCCTGCCATGATGCTGCGAGGCATCCCAGAGATTTACCCCTGCCATGATGCTGCGAGGCATCCCAGAAATTTCCCCCTGCCATGATGCTGCGAGGCATCCCAGAGATTTCCCCCTGCCATGATGCTGCGAGGCATCCCAGGAGTGGAGAATAGAAGAATAATAATAATACTGATAATGGAGAGCCATCTCCCTCCTGACAGTAGGCCTATGGTCAGCAGTTGATAGGTACCTGGACATTTGATCTGCAAGGCTGTGATACGAAACAGGGCTTGTTTGGCCTTGATCACATCTGCAACAGAATCACCTGAAGCTTCAGCAATGTCAAACATAAAGGAACGTAAAATAAAATAATATTATAAAATGAAACAATGGAAGTTGAAGAAGTAAAGGAATGTAGAGGAAATTCAATGAAGGAAGAATGGTAAATGTGTCTCAGTGATAAAAACAAATATATCCTGCTGGTATCCTTGTTGGTGTAAGTTCGGGCGAGAAAGAGGCAGATGAAGAGGGGCTGGAAATTATAGCAGTGGCCAGCAGAAATAGACAGGAACAGAGAGAGAGAGAGAGAGAGAGAGAGAGAGAGAGAGAGAGAGAAAGAGAGAGAGAAAGAGAGAGAATGAAAGAGGAAGGGAGAGAGAGAAAGAGAGAGAATGAGAGAGACAGGGAGGGAGAGAGAGAGAGAGCCAGAGAGAGAAAGAGACAGAGAGAAAGAGAGCAAGAGAGACAGCAAGAAACAGAAAAAGAGAGAAAGAATGACACAAACTCTGATAATTAGGGGTGGAGGAAGGGAACAGATGAATAAATGTAATTTTCAAAGGGTCACAGATTGGACACACAGTCCTCTCTAACATTCAGCTCTTTCAAGCACTCATCTTGTAGATCATAACTGCATGTTATCAATAATGCATTTTATATTACATATAAATATAAATAATGAAACAATGCATACATATCATCCATCATGCATACACAAACATAGGCACTCCAAATATATACGTACACATGCACTTGTAAATGTCCATACATACACAGATACTAGCACACCCATACATCTACCTACATACACACACTAATACATACGTCCCTCATACATGCACTCATGCTTATGCATACAGACTGACAGACAGATAAGGATGCAGATTTGAGAGAAAAAGACAGAATAGAGATAAACAGAGATAAAGTGACAGAAAGATTCTGAGAACATATCTGTAAACAAAATAGACCGAGGAAAAATGACACAACACACACACAAAAATAAACGGGTGCAGTTTACCTTTGTCATGAAAAGCCCGCTCCAGATTGTCACACAACTTCTCCTCTATTGTCCTCATGTTCTCACAGATGTCCAACATTCCGTTGACCTGAAAAACATTTCTGACTGTCACTCACTCACTCACTCACTTACCCCCGACTAACTGGGGCTACCTTTGAAGTCAGAGTGCATCTGCCTGAGAGGCAAGGAACCGACAATCTGCATACAAATAAGTGAGATCTGTAAAGCAGATGTGTATGCAACACTCAAGTTCTGAAACAAGAGTAAAGTCCAGAAGTGGATGAACAACCAGAATTTTCCGCCCAAGTTTACTGCCTGTGAATGCGAAGAAGATTACCGCTGTTACACAATTTTTACTTTTTGAAAAAATGAAACAGCATTAGGGATAAATTTTTCAGGTGTTAATTAACACCTACAGAGGAAAGAAATAGAAATTGGAAAATGTGAACCTGTCACCTACAAATGATGTCAGTGCCTAGTTGTGCACTGACGCCAGGTCAGCCTATGACACAGCATCCTCATCTGTCAGTTCTGTCATTTTCTCAGTATACTAATACTTCTAGCACTGAAAAGGGTGAGACAACAAACAATGTGAGTGAGAAATCTACTTCCACTGGCCAGCTACTGACTTGACTGCATGGTGCGACACTGTGAGCTGTGAATTTCATGAAGAATGCTTAATATCTGTGCTTCTGGATATATATTTTGCAAAGTGCACATTAAAAAAAGGTGTGTGGCTAGTTAAGTCAAAACTGGTGATATGCCTTACGCGGTAATGTGTATGCACCTACTGGTGTGTTGTGCTGCTTCCATCACATCCATTCCTTCTAGTGACAGACTAGGCGTCGGCACCTCTGGCTCCTGCCTTCTGCATCTGATGCATGTGCCAAGCAGGCTGAACATTTTGGGGACTGTTGTCTGACTTTGCCTACGGGACAGTGATGGTCATTCTGTGTCATTCTCACCGCCGAGCGATTGTGCCGAGACCCTTTTGCGATGAAGGTGAAACCCTGACTGATAGTCTGATTAAACTGATGATTATGGACACAGTTAATATTTTGCCACAAACAGTGAAAGACTCACCTCGCCAACATATCTGGACCTGATGCTCAAGTTGGCCATGAAGTTGGAACTCTCCGAGTGCACACAGCTGGGGCGACGGTCAATGCTGGTAGTCTGCGGACACAATGTACAACAACAGAGAGGGAAGGTTACAAGACAACTCAGTACTTTACAACAACAGAGAGGGAAGGTTACAAGACAACTCAGTACTTTACAACAACAGAGAGGGAAGATTACAAGACAACTCAGTACTTTACAACAACAGAGAGGGAAGATTACAAGACAACTCAGTACTTTAATCTGTTCTATTAGATGTGTCTACGGAACATCATTTATGTCTTGTTCTGCTAACTTCCAACAGGCATATACCTGGCCATTCCCCACAAGCGTATACCTGGCAATTTTCCACAGGCGTATATCTGGCCATTTTCCACAGGCGTATACCTGGCCATTTTCCACAGGCGTATACCTGGCCATTTTCCACAGTCGTTTACCTGGCCATTTTCCCCAGGCGCATACCTAGCCATTTCCCACAGGTGTACATCTGGACATTTTCCACAGGCGTATACCTGGCCACTTTCCACAGATACTTAGCCACTTTCCACAGATCTTGTTCCGCATATCTTACTAAAGAAAAGAAGGACCTATAAAAATATAAGATGAGATTAACCTGCTTCTAGTAGTAGAGCTGCCATATCTCTGGCCACTGAATGTTTAGAGCCCATTCTTGTGACACAACTTATCTTGCATCTGATTGGAACAGGAGGGTAATATCATTAGCCAAGCCAAGATCTCTGGCTGCTCTTGCATCTGATTGGAACAGGAGGGTAATATCATCAGCCAAGCCAAGATCTCTGGCTGCTCAGTTTGAGCCTAATGAATTCCATTTCTTGTCAGAAATAACCAAGCAAGTGACAATAAAACACTTACAAGAACACAGTCAATAAAACACTCACAAGAAACACAGACAATAAAACACTCACAAGAAACACAGACAATAAAACACTCACAAGAACACAGTCAATTAAACACTTACAAGAAATACAGACAATTAAACATATACAAGAAACACAGACAATAAAACAAGTACAAGAAACACAGACAATAAAACAAGTACAAGAAACACAGACAATAAAACACTCAAAAGAAACACAGACAATAAAACAAGTACAAGAAACACAGACAATAAAACAAGTACAAGAAACACAGACAATAAAACAAGTACAAGAAACACAGACAATAAAACACTCAAAAGAAACACAGACAATAAAACAAGTACAAGAAACACAGACAATAAAACACTTACAAGAAACACAGACAATAAAACAAGTACAAGAAACACAGACAATAAAACAAGTACAAAAAACACAGACAATAAAACAAGTACAAGAAACACAGACAATAAAACAATTACAAAAAACACAGACAATAAAACAAGTACAAGAAACACAGACAATAAAACACTTACAAGAAACACAGACAATAAAATATGTACAAGAAACACAGACAATAAAACAAGTACAAGAAACACAGACAATAAAACAAGTACAAGAAACACAGACAATAAAACACTCACAAGAAACACAGACAATAAAACACTTACAAGAAACACAGACAATAAAACAAGTACAAGAAACACAGACAATAAAACAAGTACAAAAAACACAGACAATAAAACAAGTACAAGAAACACAGACAATAAAACAATTACAAAAAACACAGACAATAAAACAAGTACAAGAAACACAGACAATAAAACACTTACAAGAAACACAGACAATAAAACAAGTACAAGAAACACAGACAATAAAATATGTACAAGAAACACAGACAATAAAACAATTACAAAAAACACAGACAATAAAACAAGTACAAGAAACACAGACAATAAAATATGTACAAGAAACACAGACAATAAAACACTTACAAGAAACACAGACAATAAAACAAGTACAAGAAACACAGACAATAAAATATGTACAAGAAACACAGACAATAAAACAAGTACAAAAAACACAGACAATAAAACAAGTACAAGAAACACAGACAATAAAACACTTACAAGAAACACAGACAATAAAACAAGTACAAGAAACACAGACAATAAAACACTCAAAAGAAACACAGACAATAAAACAAGTACAAGAAACACAGACAATAAAACACTTACAAGAAACACAGACAATAAAACAAGTACAAGAAACACAGACAATAAAATATGTACAAGAAACACAGACAATTAAACACAAGAAACACAGACAATAAAACATGTACAAGAAACACAGACAATTAAACACAAGAAACACAGACAAAACATCCACAAAAAAACAGACAATAAAGCACTCAGAAGAGACATAGGCAAAAAAAACACCCACAAGAAACACAGACAATAGAACACCAACGAGAAATACAGATAATAAAACACCCGTAAGAAACACAGACAATAAAACACAGTAAAACACCCACAAGAAATAGAGACAATAAAACATTCACTAAAAAAAACACAGACAATAAAACACTCACAAGAAAACCCTACAAGAAACAGACACAGAGAAGAAACACTCACACTGGTAGCTGCCCCTCCCTTGTACCCAGCATAGTTGAGGACACTCTCTGTGGCCATGGCAAGCCCACTGTGCTGCAACAGCCCCTTCTCATTCATGTCCATCTGCAGAACGTACTCAATCAGGTGAGACCTCACAGCGTTGGGAGCCCACTTCATGGACTCCAGGAGGATATTGGAGCTGCAGGCCGAGCAGTCCTTGACCACTTGCTGCAAAATAGAAGACTCATGTGTTTGTAGCATTTACACCATGTGTTCTAGTTTTCATGGCAGGTAAACCATTTGTTCTACTATTAACTATAAACAGATTGTGTTAGTTGTAAGAACACTCCTGAGTTTATGGCAGGTAAACCATTTGTTCTACTATTAACTATAAACAGATTGTGTTAGTTGTAAGAACACTCCTGAGTTTATGGCAGATAAACCATTTGTTCTACTATTAACAGATTGTGTTAGTTGTAAGAACACTCCTGTGTTTAAGGCAGGTAAACCATTTGTTCTACTATTAACTATAAACAGATTGTGTTAGTTGTAAGAACACTCCTGAGTTTATGGCAGGTAAACCATTTGTTCTACTATTAACTATAAACAGATTGTGTTAGTTGTAAGAACACTCCTGTGTTTAAGGCAGGTAAACCATTTGTACTACTATTAACTATAAACAGATTGTGTTAGTTGTAAGAACACTCCTGTGTTTAAGGCAGGTAAACCATTTGTTCTACTATTAACTATAAACAGATTGTATATAAACTATATAAGAACACTCCTGTGTTTATGGCAGGTAAACCATTTGTTCTACTATTAACTATAAACTGATTGTATATAAACTATGTAAGAACACTCCTGTGTTTATGGCAGGTAAACCATTTGTTCTACTATTAACTATAAACAGATTGTGTATAAACTATGTAAGAACACTCCTGTGTTTATGGCAGGTAAACCATTTGTTCTACTATTAACTATAAACAGATTGTATATAAACTATGTAAGGACACTCCGGTGTTTATAGCAGGTAAACCAATTGTTCTACTTTAAACTATAAACAGATTGTGTATAAACTATGTAAGAACACTCCTGTGTTTATGGCAGGTAAACCATTTGTTCTACTATTAACTATAAACAGATTGTATATAAACTATGTAAGAACACTCCTGTGTTTATGGCAGGTAAACCATTTGTTCTATTATTAACTATAAACAGATTGTGTATAAACTATGTAAGAACACTCCTGTGTTTATGGCAGGTAAACCAATTGTTCTACTATTAACTATAAACAGATTGTATATAAACTATGTAAGAACACTCGTGTTTATGGCAGGTAAACCATTTGTTCTACTATTAACTATAAACAGATCATGCTAGTCATAAGAACACTCCTGAGTTTATGGCAGGTAAACCATTTTTTCTACTATTAACTAGAAACAGATCATGCTAGTTGTAAGAACACTCCTGAGTTTATGGCAGGTAAACCATTTGTTCTACTATTAACTATAAATAGATTGTATATAAACTATGTAAGAACACTCCTGTTTTATGTCAGATATGTTGTCTATAAATAAAACAGAATAATGTTTAAAAATAAAACATCCATAAAATGTTGAACAAAAAACTGACAGCCTAGATCTTTAACAAAAATACACATCTGCATAATGTTTAGTGTGTAGCCCTAAGGCTCACTCAGAGGTTAGTGAAAAAGTTTCACAATCCTCTAGGATTGAAGAGACTCAGGTCTCATAAAATAATACTGCCACACAAACACAGGAGTAGATGTACTCACCCACTACAAACAGCCCCTAATGTGGAGACAGCACACATCTAAAGACACATCTGCCACAGGAGAGAACAGAAGCAAATGAACAACAGGAAGACAACAGAAAGAGCCACAACAGCGACAGCAACTAACCTCTCTGGAAGTCAGGTTCTCCATGACGCGAAGCTTGTAGGGGGTCCCTGGAATCTGCACCTCGGGGGCATCTTCATGGGGATCCTGCAGAGCCAAAGGAACAGCAATCACATGAGGCTTTTCTTCCTGATTTTTGCATTTTCTTTGGCATCCAATGTCTACTAAACATGGATGTGTAGAAATCTACAGCATGTAAAACATGCTAAAATGTCTACGAAACCCAGTCTTTCAAATGTGCGTATACATAGAAATCCAATGTCTATCAAATGTGGTCATAGAGAAATTTACTGTCTCGGAAATGAACATATATATAAATCTATATATTTGCATTAACAGAAATGCACTATGAAAGGTGGATATAGAGAAATCCACTGTCTGGGAAATAAAGATATATGGATATATATGTATCTGGATTAACAGAAATCCACTATGAAATGTGGATATAGAGAAATCCACTGTCTGAGAAATAAAATATGGAAATCTATGTATTTGCAGTTACAGAAATCCACTATGAAATATGGATATAGAGAAATCCACTGTCTGGGAAATAAAATATGAAAATCTAAGTATTTGCAGTTACAGAAATTCACTATCAAATGTGCACAGAGAGAAGAAATCAGCTGTCTGGGAAATAAGGATAAATGGAAATCCATATATATGGAGTTAAAAGAAATCCATTTTAAAATGTGGATAAACAGAAATACATTATGAAACATGGAAGTATAAAAATCAACTACTTTTTTTTAGAAGACAAACTCACAAGTCACAAGTAAATAAAAACAAGTAAACAGTGTCAAATTAACTAAGCCTGAAAAGAAAATTACAAAATGAAATCATTATCATGTATTAGGTCCCTTATCAAACATCAGTCTCACCAAAACGTGGCAGAAAGTGTCTGGATTTTTTGCCAATTCTCCCACCTCATCTCCTGTGCCCTACCATTATGCAGGTCAACCCTTGTCTCACACATAAGGTACCTTTAATGTCCCATGTCCATCTTATGTTGACTGACCCCTTCCTTATAGCTCAGGTACCCAGCGATTGCTCAAATAAAAATGCTCATGAAGTCCTGAGAATTCCCTGAAAAAGCCTAAGAATTTTCAGCAAATAACCATATTCAAAATGTATTTATGTACAACTGAAATGCCAAACATATATGGCTAAAAAAAGGGGTAACCAATAAACATGAACAAAGTGAAGGATTCAATGGACTACCTTCCCCTGAGCCTAAGATACAGCAATTTATATCTACGGCTTGTACCATGCCCTCTATCACTGAGGCTTGTTGGAAAATCTGACATCGACTTGGCTGTCAAAGGCCATTTGGGTCATAAGGGGACCTTTAATTCCCACCTCCGAATTGCTTATTTTGTTAACTATTTTCATATCCTGGCCTATTTAACACTACCCCCCCCCCCCCCCCCCCTCCCATCAACAGAACCAATGAAATTCAACTACGCTGTTGAAGAAGAGGACAGTGAAGAAATGGCAATAGATCAACCTTTGTGGGAGCTGTGACACAAACAGAAGTCACTAGATGTAGTCTTCTCGGGATGACAGAGTTAATGTCCTGTACCCACCTTTGTCTCCTACATCAGGAACTTTTAATCTCCTGTGTCCGCCATTAAACTTGTCGAACCCTGTCTCTTCTGTTAGAAACCTTCATTACAGTTCTGTCTAAGCTATACTGCATTCACAATGGCCAAAGAATTTTAGTCTCTCAGACAACTGACATTTCTGAGCCAGTCGTCTCCCATGTTCAGGTTTTGTAGAGTGTCAGTCATCTCCCTTGTTCAGGTCTTGTAGAGTGTCAGTCCTCTCCCATGTTCAGGTTTTGTAGAGTGTCAGTCGTCTCCCATGTTCAGGTCTTGTAGAGTGTCAGTCGTCTCCCATGTTCAGGTCTTGTAGAGTGTCAGTCGTCTCCCATGTTCAGGTCTTGTAGAGTGTCAGTCGTCTCCCATGTTCAGGTCTTGTAGAGTGTCAGTCGTCTCCCATGTTCAGGTCTTGTACAGTGTCAGTCGTCTCCCTTGTTCAGGTCTTGTAGAGTGTCAGTCATCTCCCATGTTCAGGTCGTGTAGAGTGTCAGTCGTCTCCCATGTTCAGGTCTTATAGAGTGTCAGTCATCTCCCATGTTCAGGTCGTGTCAGTCGTCTCCCATGTTCAGGTCTTGTAGAGTGTCAGACGTCTCCCATGTTCAGGTCTTGTAGTGTTTCAGCCATCTCCCATGTTCAGGTCTTGTAGAGAGTCAGCCGTCTCGCATGTTCAGGTATTGTAGAGTGTCAGTATGTTATTATATGAGAGGAGGGTTACAAACAGAAGCTT